ATGCTTAGCAGCACTGTATCAGCAGTAAAGTCCTACAAGTTCCTGGGCTCCACTATCTCCCAGGACCTGAAGTGGACGTCCAACATCAGGACCATCATCAAGGCGGCACAGGAGCTAGTGCAGGAAGTTCGACCTGCCCCAGGAGCTGCTGATACAGTTCTACAGAGGAATCATCGAGTCTGTTCTCTGCACCTCCATCACTGTCTGGTTTGGCTCAGCAACCAAACAGGGCAGGAACGGACTCCAGTGGACAGTCAGGACTGCAGAAAAGGTCATTGGAGCAAGCCTGCCCTTCATGGAAGACCTGTACACCTCATGGGTCAAAAGGAGGGCAGAGGGGGTTTCACTGCACACCCCTCACACCCGGGACACAATCTGTTTAAACTCCTCCCCTCTGAAAAGTGTTACAGTTTCTTCCCCCAGGCTGTCACTCTGATGAATACTTGACCTACGACAGTATGATTGGACAATACCCCCTCAGTGCAATACCTGTAAATATACCTCGTACAGATTATACAGACTCGTACAGGTCTCTAGTTTTAAGTACTCTATTTTTATTCCTATTTATCTCATTTCAATGAACATTCCTTTGTTGTCTGCATTGTTTACTGTCTATTTATACTGCTTATTTTGTTACATTACACAGCCTTATGCTGGTTTGCTGTTTACTTGCCCTTTGCATGGGGATATGTACATACACATTGAGAGCTGACATACCAGAGTCAAATTCCTCGTGTGTCCGACACCCCTGGCCAATAAAGCAGATTCTGATTCCGATTCTGATATAAGACTTGCTCCTACCCTTGAATGTGCAAACTATTATGAACTGTTTTAGTGATTCACAACTGTTTTTGCACATGTAAAAAAAACTTTTCTTAATCATCTGCTCCTTTTTATGCACCTCTCCTCCTTTATCGTTGAAACTAATTCACAGTATTAAAGGTAAATCAGTAAGAGATAAGTAGTATTTATTTTATATATTATCAGTAAGGTGATATATTTTTATTTAACAAAAGCCACTTAAGAGGCTTGTGTCATAGTCATGTGAAAAAATTAGGACACCCTTTGAAAGCATGTGTATTTTGTAACATTTTTTAATATATGGTTATTTAATCTCAATTTTAACAATACAGAGAGATTAAAGTAATACAACTAAACAAGTAAAACTGAAGAAAGGTCTTTTCAAGAGCTTCTGTAAATGTAATTCTACAAAAATGCCTATTCTAGCTGAGGAAAAAGATAGCACACCCTCACATGTATGCCCTCTTAAAATGGCTCAAATCACACACACAGGTATATCACACCAGGTGCACATAATTAGTAGATTGTTACTCAGCATTTTGAATGAGGCTTGCCCTATCTGAACCTCAGACATTTAGTTTGGTGTGCTCCTGACTGTTGAAGTGAGAGTGAGCACCATGGTGAGAGCAAAAGAGCTGTCAGAGGCCT